GTTGCCCCCAAGGTAAACATACCCGAGGTATTTTCCACCTTAAGGTGAAAATCGCATTCATCAATATTTTACCCCGCAAGGTAACGAAGTACCCCGGTGCCAGTCGCCGCGCACTGCGCTCCATGAGAACGTCTCATGACGTGCTTGCGGTGCTAGAAGTTCCATGCGACGGATTTCTCACCTTGCGTTACGCCCTGATGCAACGTTGACGTACTGTGCTGTATTTTCCCAATTTCGTTTCACTGTGCATATGTCATTGATTGTTCGAGATACCATCACATATTTGGGAGCAAAATCAAAAAAGCGATTTTGGCATTGCCAAAGCAAATTGGCACGCGACAACGCATTTGGCAAATATTTCTTAGAGGGACAACGCCCGAAGCTCTACAAGATAGTGTAAGTAGAGCTTCGGGCGTTGTTCCTCTAAGGAATATTTGCCAAATGCGTTGTCGTGTGCCAATTTGCTTTGGCAGTGTAAGTGCTAGTGTGATTCGTGACTCTTAGCTCCATGTCAGCTTGTGCACGCCGGGTTTGGATCGTAAATGAAATGGGAGCGTTTTTGCTTGATTTAAACATGATAGTTATATTTAGAATCGATAAATCCACGCAATGTACATAAAATTCTACATTTTAGCTAATGACAAGAAAGCAGCCTAAAACACTTGATAACTCATCAACGGTTTGTGGAGGAATAACTGTTGGGAGGTCAAATTTTCATCCTTGCGACATATCAAAGAATCTATCAAAGCAGATTTGGTTCTCTTTTCGAAAAGCTACTCTTAGAAAAAAATTGAGCCCTGCCACTTCCCCAGCGTCTCACATTCAAGTCAATTTGTTTCTTACTTTCTTTTTGAAAAGTGCTCTTGGATCGGTTTTTTTTTCAAAATTCTGGAGATTGATTGATGTCCTAATTTTTGAAGTTTCTGGTTCTACGAAGAATCAACTGTGGCGTTAGTACACAGCAAATGCTCTACAATGTTACGTGGAGCTTTTTAATAATATGAACGTTTAAGCCAGAGGCACCTGAGATTCGAGTTGAATTGCCTTCTCCTTGAAGCCGTCATAATCTATTGAAAG